TCCTCCTCTTTTTGCTGAGGAAGACTGGCCCTGGGCTAACATCTGTGCCCATCTTCCTCCACTTTATATGGGAGGCCGCCACAGCACGGCCTGACAAACGGTGCATGGTGTGCGCCCAGGATCCGAACCTGAGCCACCAGCAGCGGAGTGTGCGCACTTAACCGCTACGCCACGGGGCCGGCCCCGAGCACAGGTCTTTCTTAACAATTACTATCATCTTCAGTTGGGAAATGGTGCTGTATTGTATGGGCTAATGAGAGGTTGCAGAAAACTTTTTGTTTTTAAACAGGAAGAAAAAAAGCTTAAAGTAGGTCACAGAAAATGATCTCAATTACTAGAGTGGCACCGTAAGGCATTCAGGTCCATGGAGCGCTTCAACAGAATTCATCAATCTGTGATCACAGGAATGAAGATTAAGGGATGGTTTTGGGCTTGGACAGTCACTGGGAGTTAGGTAAATAAGATGAGGCTCCGTATTTTGGAGCCAGTGGTGGTGGTAAATCGAAATCGAGGGAGCTGACGTATGTTTTCAAAGAAGCATGGAGTCCATCCTTACTTTCTGTCTGTCTCCCTGATGGAAGAGCCATCTCCAGCATTCTACATTTTTAATCAGAGAATAAACAGCTTTGAGGCTGTAATTGTGTTCTTTCACGGGTGCAAATGTATGAAAGGTCCTCTCAGCGGTTACTCTGAACAATTCCTTACCAGTTAGCCTGACTTCTGAAGAAAAATCAGAGACAAGGAACGCAGGGAGGCCCCACAGGGTGTAGCTAAGTGCATAGCTTTTGAATCTAGCAGATTTGGTTTTGAATAGTGGCCTTGAGCAAGTCACTCAACCTTTCTCTCTAAGCTGAAATTGCCTGAGGGTTATGGAGACAGTGAGGACACCTCCCTCACAGAACTGTCCTCAAGCTTAAATGAGATGGTGTATACAGTGAGCTGCACAAGTTGCTGAGTGCGTAGTAAGCATTCAATAAACATTAGCTATCTTTATTACTGCTTGCCAACTCGAGCTAATCATTCTGGCTGTCTTTCCTGGTATTCTTTGTCCATTCCAGAATACCTTAGACATAGCCAAGTATACAGTCACAATGATAAAAATTTTAATAAATGACAATAATACTTGAAAAATAGATTTAGAGTTACTTATTAAATAATAGTGACTTTATTCTTCTAATCCATTGACTGCTAATAGCTCAGGTGGGAATCTTTTCCTACAGGTGAATGCTTTCCTCGGAATCCAATCCTGACCGGAAATGGTTGGCATTTCTAACTCGGTCTCAACACCTTTAGTGCTTCCCAATGGACTGAAGGCAGATGCCGTCTGTCTTCCTCTTGGCTAGGCCCTGAAGAGGTCAATTACTCAAGCCACTTGATCATTCTGCTCTTTCCTTTCCCCTCTGAAGGCACTCACAGGGCTCAGTGAACACATACTGCCTTCATGCCTGACAATATCCATGCCACAAAAGCATCCTCTCAAAATGGACTCAGTAATTCCCCCTGGGGCACCGGGGGATGGGTAGCACTGCCAAAGCTTCCTTCCCACAGCCCAGGTGTGTGTAGCTCCTCCCCACCCCTCTGCCCGCACACAGTGACTCTCTCTTCTTCAGATCAGTCTGATGATGGGCTGGTGACTTCTAGGTGAAAGGTCTGAAGGGGCACTGTCCCATTTCCTTGTCCCTTGTTTTGTGCTTAATGGAAAAAGTGAACTTTTTAACCAGAGGCTAAAAAGTCCTTTTCTAAAGCTGAGTGTTGAGGAAGGACTGCCAAGTCATTCATATTATGAGTTATCTCTTCTTAATTTATAAAAGTGAAATCCTCAGGATTATGAAGTTTTACTTAATAGTCTTGCAAATTTCTTTTTTGCCCTTTTTCCTGTGGGGGCCTCAAATTCTCATTTGTTCTCTACACGTTTTATGGACTGAATATTTGTGTACCCCCTAAATTTCTATATTGAAGTCCTTACCCTCAATGTGATGGTATGAGGAGGTGGGGCCTTTAGGAGGTAATTAGGTTCAGATGAGGTCATGAGGATGGAGCCCCCACAATGGGATGAGTGTCCTTATAAGAAGAGTAAGAGACCAGAGCTCTCTCTCCCCTGTGTGAGCACACAGCAAGAAGGCAGCCATCTGACAGCCAGGAAGAGGGTTTTCAGGCACCTGATCAGCCTACACCTTGACCTTGAACTTCCTGGCCTCCAGAATTGTGAGAAACAAATGTCTGTTGTTTAAGTCCCCCAGCCTGTGGTAATTTGTTATAGCAGCCCGCGCTAAGACAACGTCCTTGATGCCTTTATGAACACCGACCATCCCGAGGCTAGGTCCTGCAGTAGTCAGGAAGTGGGCCTGGCTGAGGCCTCAGGAGATAGCTTTTGCTGCATCATTTTGCCAATAATGTCTCAGCCCTGCTTTCTCCTTGGGTTCTCAGCCAAAACATTATAGCATATGGATGCCTGGGTATCCCAATTCATTCCATTGTTGTCCCTAATGTAAATCAGGGCAGCAATGTAAATTTTAAATAAAAAGCATGTTTGGTGTCAATCCAAGCAGCCGTTAAAAATAAGATCAGGATTTATAATGAGCCTCATTGGGAGAGTAAAATCCTTCAGACTGCTGAAAACACCAACCCTCACCAATGGGCAATATACAATGGGCAAATGAAGACAAAAACGAAGTACCTATTTTCACAGTAAATGATATTGAGGTCCATATTCACTCGAGTGACGAACATATGGCAGTCAATTCTGACTTCATTGATCGTAGGGGGAGGCAAGGCATGAGCCACAACCACGAGACCCATGATTTGGCTGGGGACGGTCCTCCCGTGGGACAGCGACACCCTCAGTCGTAGGCGGCCTGTTATGTGAATCACCTGTAATAGAACAGTAAGTAAAGGATCCAGTCAAATTTATATCTGGATGTAACAGTATTTCTTTTGAGAAATGCAAAATTACATCTGGCACAACCAACATTAGCTTGTACCTTCAGTAATCACAATGGCTGTCAAAGTGCCCTTCATGTCCTCAAGGCAAGAGACAAAAGAGAGATGAAATTATACTCTGAGCATTTCTCAAGGTAGCATTATTACTACGCTATCGCTATTTTTCAGGATTTTTTGTTTTTACATTTAGAGGAAGTACATAACCAGATAAAATGACCAGAAAGTTGAGCACTGAGCTGCAGAAGGAAACGTTTGCATTATCAGCCCCTCTTAATGGACGATGTCTGTCTCTTTCCAAATTTCTACTGAGTGGGATTACATGGCCATCTCCTTTCAGAAGTGTGGTTGAGAGCTTTCCTTCATTTGGGGGTTGACAATGCAAAAATGGCCAAAGACTCCACTGAATAAAAGACTCAGTGGCAATGACATGAATGGGTCCTTTCGAGCATAGATATTCCATGTGAGGCAGCACTGAGTTACCAGCAACACCGCGATTTCTTTTCTTTTTTTTTTTTTTGGTGAGGAAGATTAACCCTGAGCTAACACCTGTGCCTATCTTCCTCTATTTTGTATGTGAGATGCTGCCACACATGGCTTGATGAGTGGTGTGTAGGTCTGTGGCTGGGATTCGAACCTGTGAACCCCAGGCCTCCGAAGTGGAGTACGCAAATTTAACTGCTCTGCCACCGGCCCAGCCCCAACACCATGATTTCTTGCAGTGCCCTATGGGGTTGAAGGACAGTGGACTTTGGCTTGTCATTTGTTCCTTGAGCTCATACTAAAGTAGGGTCATGAAGACTTGCACCATTTTGGTGGCTCATTTTGGTTACTTGAAGAGAAACAGGAGGGAGAATACTGGGCTGTAATTTTTGGTTTCTTAGCCCAAGTATACCATAGATAGTACAGGCCACCCAGAACCAAACAAAATGGGTTCATCATCCTCACACATTTTAAATAGTATTATGTCTATAAAAGTGTCTTTTGCAAAAGTTCTTTTGCTTATTATAAACTGCACATGGAAGGAGAGCCATAGGCAACTTCCTTAAATGACGTTTTGGGGAAACAAAATCATAAAAGGGTGGAAAATATGAAGGATTTGTGTGGCTATGCTTTGGGATGATGGAAGTTGGGTGTGTAAGGGTGTGGGAGTGTTGGGGATGAGTGTGTGTGTGTGTGTACTTTAGCTGTGTTCCTAGGACCCTGCTGCAGTGTGGGGGACCCTCCAAAACCAGGTCGCAGAGGTGATCACCGTGATTCACCGTACCACAGAGCTCAGTTTAGTAGTTAACCAAGTTTCCACATTTGGTTCACCTCTCCAAATGCATCACGGAGTGCCAAAACGTCCTTTGAGGCTCTGCTTTTCCCTCTTTGCCATAAGGAACTGAGGTGGGAAGCGGGTCTCTTGCCTCCCAGGAACAATAAGATGTAGCATCTGCTTTCCTTCCTAGGGGCTTGAACGGTGATTCCTTTTTCATTTTGTTTTTGTTTCCTTTAAGTTTTTCAGTTTTCCAAAAGCAAGCCACACTGCTGTCAGGAAGCAGGATCAAAGCTTACAGGGCTGCCCTTCAGTCTGGGCTGTTCTAAATACTACCTCTTCCCCGTCCCCCTTCACGTTTGTGCCCAAAGCTACAGATCTGGAAACACCAAAAAGGAGGATTATCTGGGTTATTCCAGGAGCAGCTTTTCGACCACACACATTTGAAGTTGACTAAATTCATACTTAATGCACCTCTGCTTTAAGCTTTGGTCAGATGAGCTTCTTTATGAATACTGTATTTGAAAATGTTCCTGGAGGCAAGGATGCTGAAACACCAGCACAGACACACATTTTTGCAAGACCTCATTAACTAATAAAGAAATAGCTAAAAGAAATGGGATTAACTTCACAGGAGGGGTGTTAACAGTCCCTGGTCCTCCTCCCAGCTAGGCTTACATAGATGCTCATTTATCATTATCTGTCTTGTTTTATCAGGAACACTCAGCTTCTTGGAAAAACACAGATCTATAAATGCTCAGAAAATACACACCCAGAATGAGATGTTAAATACATCCCCACTTGGTATTCAATTCCAAAGCAATTTAAAGGCATCTGGGCTAGATAACATTTTGGGAAGGCAGACAGGCTGCTGGGGGAGCTGTCTGCATGTCCCATTTTCCTGGCCTCTGATCTCCAGCTTTGCCTGCAGCCATCGAGGTGTCAAAAGGTGGGCCCAGTAGGGTCCACTAGAGTCGCTATTTTATGATTTTGTTACCCTGGGTTACACACAAATGCATAGAGTGCATTTCAACCTCTCTGCATCTCAATTTCCTTTCCTGTGAAATGGGGATAATAATGACTAATGTGCAGTTATCTTACGAAAATCAAAAGGGGTAATGGAGGTGAACACTTTCTAAATTGTAAAGAAGTCTACAAATTTCATTGTAATTCTGTTCACCTTTAAAAACATCAACTGAATAATAAGGATAAGGACGGTTTATTAATTTAATCTTGAACAATGGCCTAATAAATGAAATATTATTATTTTAAAGGATCATAAAAATTTCATATTTAGAAGAAAATTTAGGAGAGTCTATCTTAGGTCCTTCTCTCCTTCATTTTTTTGGTGAGAAAAGACGCTCTGGAAAGTTCATTCCCTGTCCAGAGTCACCTGGCTTGGAAGTGGCAAAAAAGAGCCTAGATTCCAGGTTTCCAGGTCTTGTTTGAGTATCCTTTCAACTTTGTTATGCCTGTATGCATTTTATATGCCTATTTATATTGATCGAAGCATTAGAAGTTTATACCAGATGCCTTAAGTAAACTGTATATGAACCTTTAAAAAGATTTCACTTATAACCAGGAGCTCAGGTCATTTGAAAAGTCTTTGAGAAATAGCACAAACTAAGAAGAAGAAGAACAAAAAAACTAAGAAAATTACTAATGCAGTGACTAAATAGCTGTCAAGAAATGTCAAAGAACAATTAGAGGGTGTGTTTGTGTGTATGTATGTCTGTACGTCTGGGCATGTGGGAGGGTGGGGCTGACAAGAAGAAACAGGTATCTGTTAATTTTTGGTTTTAAATTGATGTATTTTTCCAAACTCATTTCATAATGCCAACAGCTTTTTTTTTTTTTTACCATGCAACAGGTTATGTTCAAATTTTAGAAAGATGTCTGACAGCATGTATCCAAACACACAGGTAGTTGATTTTTCACTTTGTAGTTGCTTTTGAGGCCTGAGATGTAGAGGAAAGAGTATTGTTAGAAGAGCAAGGTTCAAATCCTAGCTCTGACGCTACATAGCTGTGTAACTATGATGCTCAGAGAATTGAAATGACTTGCTTAGTTTCTAGGTCAGTATATTAGAGATTAAAAACCTAGTCAAAGAGAAGAAGTACTCTGTAAAGCTGTTCCTTGTTTTCTTAATAAAGTCATCAAAGGGCATTTTATTGGTTCTTTAGTTTCTAAAACACATTATGTGCAAGGGACCTTGGCAGTGCCAGGGAGCAGACCAAGATCAATCACATGTAAACCTGTCCACAAAGCGTTTACAGGCTACATAGTAGTCTCAGGAGTGGACCATATCGTCACAGGGAGTGTACATGTAGAATTACTTGTAGTATAGTAATATTGGGAGAACACACTGCCTGATCAAGAAAGTGGTTCTCCATCCTGGCTACGTGACAGAATCACCGGTGAAGCTCTGTTACCACAGGGATTCCTGGGCTTTATCCCCCAGAGATTCTGATTTGGTAGGACTAGGATGGGGTCCAGCATTTGTTTGTTTTTTAAAGCTTCAAAGGTCACACCTGCTACTGGAGAACATCTGGCTAGTGGGTTTGGAGTTATACCAGTGGTTCTCAACCTTCCTATACATTGACTCACCCAAGGAGTCTTTAAAAGTCCCCTTATCCAAGCTGTATCCAAGACTAGTTATAGATTCCTAGGGTAGAGGCCCTTCCAGGTTTTATAGAGCTGCTGAGAGGATTAAGTGAAAATGTAAATAAAGTGTCTTTGGGCCCTGTGAGGGGCAAGAGAACAAGAATGTACACACGGTATATGCTCAACAAATACTATGTTTATTAAGTAACAAGTATGCCCCATAAGGAAGGTATAGAATAAGATCTTTGGGGATTCAGGGTCAGTAGAAAATACTTTGGACTGAATGGATCAGGAAGGCATTAGCATAAATTGTTGATGTAAGATACGATCATAGAATGTGAAAGGGCTTTCCGAAGAGAGAAAAGGGCTAGAACAAATGGGTATAAAAGGGAATCTATCAGGAATGCCCAGGGCTCCAGGAGCACTTCGACTGGTGTCAGCAGAACAGGCAGAGATGGGCCAAAATGGCAGGTACCAGCAGTAGAAATGGCAGTGGGACCTGGGGAGAAGAACCACAATTCTGAGCCTGTCTCATGGGATGACAATGATGATGATGACAGGCTGGATAGTAATTAGGAATGCAGGAATTGTTGAAAAAGGGACAAAGATCCCCTGTGGATATTTTGTTTTTGAGCAGCCTGGGGAGATCCTGCACAAGGTGTCCAGGGGATAGCTGGAAAAAGGAGGTGGGCACTTAAGAGATGGTAGTTGAAGGTATAGTTTTGGAAGGTTTTTTTTTTTTTTTTTTGCTGGAGGCAATGTTAAAACCAATAAATGTAATGGAATTACCAATGGAGAAAAGAGAGATAAGAGAAGAATACCAAAGGCATTTTCCCCCCCTTTGAGTATCTGAAGCCTTAGGCAAATTATGTTTTTCTCTAAATTGAGGTTTTCTTGCTCTATAATGATTATTTTTGTTAAAAAAATGAAAATTTCTGAAAACTCTAAGCCTCTTTTTCTCCATTCACAATTCCATTCTGACATAGATGTTAAACTTGCCATATTGTCACCAGTCCCAGGGGTAACATCTCAAAGAATGGGATGGCTTCCTTGTAAAGTTAATTAGGTAAAT